AGKARACTGCAACTTCAAGGGCACGGCGGGGTGGAAAGATGGGCTAAAAACGTGGATCTGCTTGAATATGATATTATCTTTGTTCCAGTCCTCAAAGATAATGATCACTGGATCCTCCTTTCCGTGAGCTTGAGAGATAATGTTCTTGAGATTTTCGATTCTTTTTCTTGCGTTGTAGCCGGTTCTAGTTTTTACCTTAGTGTTTTCGAGTTGATYGTACACTATTTGGAATKTSAAACATCACATAGGCGCYCGTGCAGGCGCTGKAAGTCGGTGGCAGCAAATGTTGTTATAGAGGGARTTCCAAGAMAAGTGGATGRAGTTAGTTGCGGGGTGTTTATGTTGATGTTTGCGAYACTGTTGCAACRTGGCGATCGAYSGCCTTTCAGGTTCTYTTGTAAAAATATTSYGTATATTAGACGACAACTGGCATCATRTGTCTTGGAATGYCGTTGTCTTTGATGGATTCGATTKATTTGCAAACTTCTGTTTCATAATATTTCATATTTTAAGTGTCGCTTTCACAACGACATTACTTTCTTTCTGTGTTGCGGGTTTGAGTTGTCTTTGKTATGTTSACTRCCAGTTTGGTGTCGCGTATTGCYTTCGGAATCTCTGTCARGTCYGGCTCGTYTGWYGTGTCATTACATTCATCRCATTGYAGTCCTCGTTGCAAATTGTRTCMRRGTCATCCAAGGTTGTGCATATAATTCACCTCGAAATGATATTCGTGTGTGTGRTGSGACATGACGAATTGGAGTGTGRATGCAAGACAAATCTYGGCGAGTRTGTGGGTGTGAGKTYCGTTATGCAAAGAGTGAAAGACCAGTGACATCACGTCTCTTGTGTGCATAGACAATCATGTACTTGTGACCGCYWRAATTAYATGTGACCGACAATTTTGCGTTCTTGACCGGGAAAAATAAATTGTATGTCAAAAATAACAGTTACTGTTTGTACTTCTAAAGAAGTCTGAATCTCTATGACATCCAGACAACCTTCTCGGACGAGACGATAGCCATGCATGTACAACTCACACATAAAAGAAATAAATAGTATTATCCAACAAGGATTCAATCGTGACAACTTGCTCATCACAGTCACAAACTTGAAGTTTGACAAGTGTGGCTCCCGACACACTATAACACAGGCATCCCGGATGGGCGCGCTTGTCGCTACTCTACGTCTTCTAGTATAATTATCCAACGAGGATGCAATCATGACACATTTGCTCGTCACAATTATGGAATTGAAGTTTAACAAGTACGGATCCCAGCACACTTCCGCGCAGCGTTCCCTGCTGCGCGTGCTTGTCGTTATTCGTTTATGAAATTTAACAAGTGCGAATCTCGACACATATCGGCACAAGATTTACGACACATTTCTGACGTTCAACAAGTAAGGCTCCCAGCACACTTCCGCGGAGGGTTCCCTGATGGACGTGCCTGTCGTTATTCGTTTATGAAGTTTAACAAGTACGGATCCCAGCACACTTCCCCATAGGATTCCCGACAGTGCCATGTTTTTGCAGTTCAACAAGTAAGGATCCCGACACACTTCCACACAAGGTTCTCGTGCCGCGTGCCTAACATGTAGTGGTTAAGACACGAGCACACTTCTGCATGTGCTTAAGCCGTGGATGGGCGTGCCTACGTTGCTTGGAATGCAGACAAAAATGAATTCGTTAGAAAGAGGACACAATATAATGCCCTATTTTAATGAATAATATGTTGTGGGTAGTTTGTCCGTTCCACACAGAGGGCATTTCCATTCCCTACTGTTTGTTCGGTATCGAACGCATGCACCGTGTGCACGATTGACACACGTGGCACAGTTAACCCACTCAACGAATCCGATTTCAAAAGGATGACAATTCACCCCCATATACCCATGTAATACATGTGCAAAAATAACAAAATTTATCGGAAAGGGTGGAGAAGAAGGCCGATGAGGCGAGAGGGTCGGAATCAACAGGGGAAGAAGGGGTCGCAGAGACAGGTGGGGTAGCCATGATGCGAGGGTAGGAAGGAGAGTGGGAAGGGCTTCAGAGAGGGCGGAGCTAAGCTACGTGCCACTCACTCCTTCGATAAAATTTCCACTTGTCCGTATCGAGGTCCCCTATCCTCCTCCGGTTCGTTCCACAGAATCACTTCCTCGCTTTTGAGGACCTTCTCGGGTTGGTACAGTCGTGTCAACCTATCAACATTCACGTGCTTCTCGTGCTTTTGATGACGGATGTCAAAGTCCATGCTCTGTAGCACCGTTGCCCAGCTCCGGATCATTCCCGAGAAATCCTTGGATCTCTTCAAGGCTAATAATGGCTCATGATCGGTGACCAGAGTGAACTTTCATCCATACAAATAGGTTCGAAAGTGACTGATTCCCCACAGAGCCGCATAGCATTCTCATGTCGTGGCGGCGTAGTTGCGCTTGCAGGCAGGCACCGATTTAGACGCGTATTCTACGACGCATTCAAGTCTGTCGGGTCCTACCTGGGCCAGGATCGCTGAGATTGCCTCCAGCTGCCAGTCCGTGATGAGGACAAAAGGCTTCGCAGGATCAGGTCTTATAAGGACCAGAGCCGAAATAAGGGCTGCCTTGAGCTTCGAAAATGCTTGATCACATTCTGGCGTCCAGATCAACGGTTGATCCTTTTTTAGCAGATCCGTGAGGGAACCCGCAATAGTCGCGAAACCCTTGATAAACCTTCGGTAGTACGAGGCCAGGCCCAGAAAGGCACGAACTTGTGTGATAGTCGTGGGCATAGGCGCGTCTCTCACTGCTGCCACCTTTTGCGGTTCCGGTCTGAGCCCTTGGTCTATCACCACGAGTCCCAGGAAGGAAATGGTGGTGAGAAAGAACTGACATTTCTCAAGGGCCACCTTGAAACCGGCATCTCTCAATGCATGCAACGTCCATTCGATGTGCTACACGTGCCCTTCGTAGAAACTTGAATACACCAGAATATCATCCATGTACACAATCACACAATAATTGATGATGCTTTGTGTCAGTCGTGTCTTCCGCACTAAGTTGTGGAAAGCCATATTCATGGATCGCGGGAACGTTGCAGGAGCATTGCAGATGCCCATTGAACATCGAACCCATTGCCAAGTTCCTTCGAACAACACAAACGCCGTTTTCGGACGATCCTTCTCTCGAGCACGAAGATGATGAAACCCATGTCGAACATCAAACTTACTGAAAAATTGAGCACTCTCAATCGCATCCAACAACTCATCAATCTGGGGAAGGGGATATACATCTTTGATCGTGATATCATCCAGCTTTCGATGATCGATGCATATGTGAATTTCACCGGCCTTTTTGGGCACTATTACCACAGGAAACGACCACGGTCCTATAGCGGGTTCGATCCATCCATTAGCTTCGAATTCCTTGATCCGCTGAAACGCGGCCGCCCTTTGGGCTAGCGAGTATCGGTAAGGAGCGCAGATAATGGGTGGATGATCCCCTGTAAGGATAGCATGCTCAATCACATTAGACAACCCAATATCGTTATCGCGCACACTCAATACCTCTACGTACCCATTCAAGACGTTAATTAGTGATTGTTGAAATTCCAGGGGGACATGATTGGGCAGAGTGACAGTCGGTCGATCAA